TTTTGAATACACACCCTATTTCTGCTGTGACTATGGTATTACTAAAAAAACCAAAGGCATACATTTAAAATGAGATACAGATGCTAAACGTTTATTTGCTAAATTGCAAACTCAGATTCAGTGACGATTTCAAGAAAAACTCTTCAGTGTTTCCTTTTCATATAGGATCAACCTAACTTGTCTCTTACAGATTTTCCCTCCTTCACCTCCCCCGTTGGTGCAATTCCATGTCCTTAATTGGAATTATTCCTCATCTACACAGATGTAAATGAGAGCATCAATGGACCCAATATATATAATGTACAAAACTTCTTTCTTATTGGTTATTTTATGAGAGACCTAATCCTATAGGATTCTCAACTCCCATTAACTTTGGAAGTTATGGATGCACAGTAAGTAACAGGAGGTACTTGGCAGCTTGTACCTTTTAAAAAATCTCTGTGCTGTTAGGTTTAAAATCAGAATATGTATAAACAGTATTTGAAAGTTACTACTATTACTAATTTTTCCTCCCTAATGGACAAATATCATGAATATGGGATATTCTTTTCCTTAGATTTACTCCCTTAAAACACTTCCTTCTCCTTGGTGTTTATGCTGTTCAGATAAAACCGCACATGTTTCTCATAGCATAAATCCTCTTGCCCCCTTCCCATTCGCTGACATCATGAGGTGCCCAGAACTGTCTGCAGCTTTTGGGGCGTGACCAGTGTTGTACAGACAGGGACAATTGGCTTCCTGTTCTTCGGGGCAAACTGCATATGCAGGCCATTTTTTCTCTCTTTCACATGTATGTCAGTGACTACATTCTGAAGTGATTGGCTGTATAAGTACCTAGGTATCTTTGCTATCAACCTACCTTAGGTCTCTCTCTTGATATTTACTTCTTCTAAGGTATCTCCCTCCTATTGAATATTTGTGTTTTTTCAGGTTATATTTTTGTTGTACATTTCCAGGATTAATCTCATTTTACTGCTTGTCCCTGTTCTTAATGTGTTTAGGTCCCATTGTATTTCTGTATCCTCTTTGTGAACCCAGTCTTTTTAAGAGGCCAAGCTCTCTCAACTGCCGCTTACTACTTCATGTCAGGGAATACTCACCACCTTATAGGACCAGATCCTGTGTTTACAGCACCTTCCAGTTCAGTATAATTAGTTGGTTTACTGTTTGCTGTTAGATGCTCTGTATCTGATGAAAACACAGGCATCCAAGTTCTAATTTAACCACCTTGTAGAGGAGTCTGCTAGAAGCTACATACTAAAGCTCACAACAGGGTAATCAGCATTAACATTTTTTCATTGATATATTAAGTGTAATTACTCTCATGATAAGAAACTCATATGTGCAATCCTTGGTGCATCTCTGCACAAACAAATTTTCAAGTAAATCTATCTCTGTTTTGAACTGATGTTTGACATCTGGTATAATGTTTGAAGACTGAATGCAAAATGTCACTTACCAATTCAGATGCTGCTAAAAAGCACAGCTAATTTCACTGAACCCTGAATCTCAAGCTCACTGGGGTAGTCTAATGTATCACAGCATTTTTTGAATACTTCATATGCAATAATTTTCAGTACATAAGTGAAGTCTAGTCTCTTTTTGGTAGACCAAAAGCTGCGTATGTGTATATAAACAAAAATAAATAATGGCATAGAGAATATAAATCGTGTAGGTAATTGTATAATAGGCACATAAATGTACTAAAGTAATGTTAAAAGGATCTCTTGAAGCTTGATGGCCCTTAAATATAACTTTCAAAAAGTTGTTCTATGTTCTGGATACTAAGGATTACAGCAAGTTTTTCCCTATAAAAATGCTCTCTGCTTTGTACATTTTTCTTAAAGGACTATATTAACATCTTCTCACTCTACCTAGTGGGTAACGGACAGGACTGGGACTCAGGAAAACTGGGTTCTGTTCCAGGCTCTGCCACTGGTCTGGTAGGTGACCTTGGACAAATCACTGTCCCACTCTGTGCTATCCCTATCTGTAAATGGGAATAATGGTACTGACCTTTGTAAAGCGCTGGAAGATGTATAACTGAAAAATGCTACATAAGAGCTGGGTATCATAATATAGCTACACTGACTTAAAATACTTTGAAATGATTTTGGTATATAGAATTGCTAACTGAATCAAATAAAAGGGCTTGTAAGTAGACGGCCGCAAATTAGTCAGGCTTTTAGTTTTGGACTCTCAAGCAGCCATTGTGTTAAACTCTCTGAACATGGAAACATCAGGCCATTCCATTGCCACTGCTGGAATATTGTTGATACATGGGTTCAATATGTACAATCTAAGACAGAAGTCTCCAAACTGTGGGGCGTGCCCCCCTAGAGGGGCACAGAGGAAAATTCTGGGAGGCGCAGCTGAGGCCCCAGCCAGTCTCCATACAGGGTGGGGATGGAGTGCCACCCAGCTCTGCTCCTGGCCCTGGCCCCGGCCCCGGCTCCGGCTGCCAGCTCCGTGTCCGGGGCCTTGTTCCTGGCCCCACGGCCGGGGCCCCGGCCTCAGCTCCACTCCTGGCCCTGGCCCCACCCCCAGCTGTGGCCCCAGCCGCTGCCCCCTTACCCCTGTCCGCGTTCCTCCTCCCAGAGCCATGGCCCGGCTCCTGGCCCCAGCTTGAGGGGGAGTAAAGAGGGGGGCATGAGGTAAAAAGTTTGGGGACCACTGAGCTAAGATCATCCTGGAAAGCCTATCAAGCATAGGCTCACAAGGAAGAATCCTTGTGAGCCTATGCTTGATAGGCTTTCCAGGATGAATCCTAACTTGGGGTAAAAGTGAGAAATACTCCTTATGTAGGATCAACAGAATGGTAGGCACTTTCCAGACATAATCCAGGGAGCCTTACTTCACTTAAGACAACATATAGGCAAACAAATAGGATGTAAAATGCAATAAGATTGAAGCAGTATGCTTGAACACCCATACGTGTGTCTACAGCTGTATCTATTTTGCAAGCTTAAGGGCTGGATCCCACAATGAGCTCCAGGAAGGCAGATGACTGCTTTCTGATGGGAGTCCATTGAAGTGAGTGGGGCTTTGTGAAGGCTCAAGGATCTACTCCAGGGGTCGGCAACCTTTCAGAAGTGGTGTGCCGAGTCTTCATTTATTCACTCTAATTTAAGGTTCTGCGTGCCAGTCATACATTTTAACGTTTTTAGAAGGTCTCTTTCTATAAGTCTATAATATATAACTAAACTATTGTTGTATGTAAAGTAAAAAAGGTTTTTAAAATGTTTAAGAAGCTTCATTTAAAATTAAATTAAAATGCAGAGCCCCCTGGACCGGTGGCCAGGACCCGGGCAGTGTGAGTGCCACTGAAAATCAGCGAAGGCGGCACGCGTGCCATAGGTTGCCTAGCCCTGATCTACTCAAACAGATCCAGATGCAGGAACAGGGTTGGGGGATTGTGAGTTTGGAGGAAGGTTTGTAAGAATCTTGTATATTGTGTAAAGAATCTTGAAGTATCTTTGTAGGATAAGGCAACACTTTGAAAGTAGATGATCCACAAACATGACAGAGTTTCCAAAAGCAAAAGTGTGGTTCTCCTGTTCTCCCCCCCAAGCTTTAGTTATGTACTAATTTCAGAGTGATGATTTTTTAGGCAAAGCAAGAAGCATTTTTCTTTAGAACTTATTAGAGTTTGATTTAAGGATATTTACTTCGTATATTTTGACACGATGTTGACAACTTGTGTTTTACCCGTTATGGAGCGTTAACTTTTTGAATTTCAGCATCTACTGTCCTTATATAATTATTGTCTAGTCCCCCCAATGATGAAAATACAAATAAAAGCTTAAAACCAATAATTTTGCACAGCTGTGAAAAATTAAATTGATTAAAATAGAAAAAATGGTTAAACAAACATTGATATTTGTTGAAATTATTAAAAAAACAAAAACAAAAAATTGAATTCTGCCAAGCCTAGATATAGTACTGAGAAAGAGTAAGTGTCAAGAGGTTGTAGTGTAACTTGACTTTTTCCAGAAGGGGGGAAAAACAGCTAATGTTTATACAAAAATCTTACCAAAATGACTTCAGTATGGTAGGCTACTTGAAGGCCTGCAACCTCTGTAGCAATAAGTAACTAGAACAGCTGTTTATTTTTGAGTTTCTCTTACAGACCTACCTATCTTGTTTTGAACGCTTTTAGTGAAAAAAATAGCATCCTATTCTGTGTCTGAACTGACATTTTTCTAAGTCCGTTAAGGACACGCTTTACATCTTTTTAAAGAGTTCAAACCGAACAATTCAGAATATCTGCACTCTGACCTCTGATTGTACTGATACAAGGATTGCTTTGATCTACAGAATAAACATTGAATTTTGGTGTAGGCTTCCCCATCACAGACTGACTGCTAGAGTTTTCAGTGTGTCCAGAAAGGTTAATTAAAGTTAACCAATCAAAATTCCTCAATAGCCTTAAATGACTTAAACTCTGATTAGATTGGATTTTTTTTGTTTTCTCAGAAAAAAAAGTGTATGGATTAATTTGCTTTTGTAGTAGAATTGCACGGATGTCATGTGGCTGAAGGATTAAGTCCTTTTATTTTTAAAACAGTTGCTAGGGTGTTTTAAACCTTTCCTTTTTATCCCTGTTTCCTGTTTTTTGTTTTGTTTTTACAACAGCAAAACAAAAAAATAACATTTTATTCACTTTTAAAGGGGAATCTGTTTGTCTTCAAAGTTGACATGGAAAAATAAGAAATTGTAGTTCTTCTTCTAGTTTGGAGTAAGAGGGAAATTTCCAGATATTATTGAGCATTAGGAATGTAAACAGTGATAATAGTTTGGGTTTTTTTCCTTGAAAGCCTTATTTTAAATAAAATTGAAATATTTCATTATTGGAGTAATAATCTCTGGCAAACAAACGCTGTTCATTTCTGTCAAGAAGCAAAAAGAAATCCACTGTTTTCCCTGCAAAAGTATTGCTTATACATGCGGCTATGCAACTAGATCATGTTTATCTTTTTTTTTACTCTTTCTCTTTGCAGAGTATTGGAAAGGGGTCCTTGTGGTGTATAGACCCAGAATATAGACAAAATCTCATTCAGGCTTTGAAAAAGACACCCTATCATCCATATTCACATGTGTTCAATACACCTCCCACATCTCCTCAGGCATATCAAAGGTAAGAAAACTAGAACACCTTTTATAACGACTATTATTTCTATTGAGCTGTACTTCTTGGATAAGACATTAAACATAACTAATCACAATAGTTATGACAATATGGTAGTGAACAAAATATTGAAGTATAATGGTCAAATCCTTTACTTAATCTACAGTATTCCTTACCCTCTTGATCTCTTGGATGATGGCAACATGTTGATCCTGATAAATCCATAGACTGGAAGAAGTAGTGTTTCCATGGCTAATTTATAACATTTCTCAACAAAAGCAAAATGTAAAATGAACACATGCAAAAGCAAATGGGAAGCTTTAAAATATCAGTTTGTCCTGTTTCAGTAGATAAAAATATCTGACTCTAGCAAGCAGGGTGCGAGTGAATTATTTTTCTCTTGAGCTTGATTGAGTAGTCTTTTAAGACTGTGTTGTCAATGCAACTGTCAAGTCTCCATGTAAACTCTACATCTGGTGATTTAAAACTCTTTTTGTTGTGGTTACTACGTGCTCTGTAGGTGAGTGCGTGTGCTTGCATTTATCTCAAAGCTGTGCAGTGGAGAACAATAGGGGCTTTCATTCTCACATAGTAATGAAATAGGTGTGTTTATCTGGCCATTGCTTAGAAGTGAAGTGTTAGCTGCTAGGAGAGAGCATTTAAGATTGTGACCCACAAAGGAGAGAAGTAAATATCTGGTTCTCAATAGATCTGCTTCCTTTTAACTGCTAATATAGACTCTACATTTTAAAATGTTCTAGCAAATCTTGGTTTGATTAGAAATACCTTTTTGTCACTCGGACCTCGTGAAATGCTTGTATTAAACTCCATAAAATCAACAGGAATTTTTGTCTGACTTTAGAAGAATGCCTGCTACTAGCCCTCTGGATTAATGAGTGATTTTGATGGTTTTTGTCTTTTCAGCATACTCTTTTAAAAATATGAGTCTAATATTTGTCCTGCAAGGAGGTGGCGATGCACGAAATGATTTCTTTCAAGTAACACTAATGAAGTTCTTGTGCATCTCTGCTGAGCAGTGCATTCCATCACATGGCCAGACAATCAATCTTCACTCAGAGATTGGGAGGAACAGCTGGGCTTTCGCAGGAGACTGCTGTATGTCTGCCCTTGCTAGGCGATTAGCGTGATGGTAACCATAGTAACTAGAATGTCTCCATAGCAACGCATAGCTGAGACAGGTGCAGTTGCATCACGAGGCTGTTTGTTGCCTGGCAAAAGGACAGGCCATTAGTACTCAGATATACACTGTTGCCTTGGTAACATAACCCTGCATAGCAACTACAGTTGGCTTAAAACTTTTTTTTTTAAATAAATGACATTGTACCTGTTTTTGTCTGTTTTCATATAAATCAACAGAATCATGCTATATGAGCTGACAGCTTGAGGTCATGTAGCTTTAGGAGATCAAATATAATGTGGGATTTTCTAAAGCAGTGGAGTAAAAATGGTAAAACTGCAGTGGAGGACCCAGTGCTTGTTAGAGTAACTTAAGGTTAACATTGGAGCTGTAAGTATCTTTTCTGCATTCACATACCACCCTCACCATGAAAGAGGTTTTTCACTTTTCCTATGTCCCCTTGACCTTTTATCAAAAGCATCCACCATCCTGTATACTCTCAGATAGTTAAATAATTTGGATGGTTACGTTAGAATGGCAGTTAAATAAATATTCAAATAAGCTTTCTTTATAGACCCGAGAAGCCTAATGACTTCATTAATGTATTTGTAAATAGTAGAAACAGAGGGTAATCTATGCAGACGTGTTAAACATTTAAATGTTTCAGAGTAGCAGCCGTGTTAGTCTGTATCCGCAAAAAGAACAGGAGTACTTGTATAAGATTCTATGGAAAAGTAAAATTTTAACGCATAGAATTCTTCATCCAATGCAGTTGTAGAATCGGAGGGAGCTTTTTGATTCATGTTAATCCCATTGGCAGAGAATGCTGTTTGCGATAGTTTGACAGGTTTTTCAGAAAGTGCTAATTATCAATTTGTAGAGCGCTACTCTAGAAAGGTTTTATTCTCCCCAATGCAGACTTTCTCAGAAATAAGACATTTGCAGTTTAAAGTTATTGTTTTTCTTGATTGAAAATCATTTTATGCACAAATATTTGCACTTCAGTATGACCCCCTCCTCAATATAATTGAAATCATAATATGTATATCTAGGTCTTATTAAAGTCAGTCTTCCCTTCAAATCTATGGGGCAGATCCTCAGGTGTATTGACAGCTTTATGCTGCTCCACTGGTATACGTTGGCTGCTGGAGCTGACTAAGAGCTTGTCTAGATTATGAAAATTTGCACCGGTGTGACTATGCTACTGTAGCTACACCAGTGCAATTTTCCCTCCTTTAGACAAGTCCTAACTTGTTCATAAAAGAATCTCCTCAATCATAAAGGTAATCCTGCACTGGTGTATAGCTAATCCAGGGGTTGTGTAGCACGCACCTTGCTTGCTGCCAGGGTAGCAGGTACAGGGGTGTGATTATTAGAAAGGGGATGTGGTTAGGATCCCCCTACACTATGCAAACCTGTACATGCTCTTCTGTCACTTGGTCTGAGGCAAGCCATTCTGACCTGTAACAAACAGCATGCTGCTAAATAAGCGTACAGATCAGCACCAGGATCAGGGCAAGAAAGTTGTGCTCCACACCTTGACTTTGTGCCCTTTTTTTTTTTTTTTGTTGTGAAAACATATAAAATTTTGTCTGTATATCTGCCGTGTGTGTGTGTGTGTGTGTGTGTGTGTGTGTGTGTGAGAGAGAGAGAGAAAATGCTTTTAGAATGTACTTTGAGAGCATGATTTCTTCTGTTGATGTTAGTTTATATCTGGATCATTTCCAAGTTGATATGCTAAATGGGCATGGGGGGGGGGGTGAAGAAGAAGAAGAAGGATTATAATATTACCGTATGTTAAGATCCAACAACTCAAAGGAAGACTTTCTTTCCTTTTGAAAACAATGAATTTAAAGCTTTTACAGTTCATGTGCTGTTGACCCTTTTACTACAGCATTAGGTTCTCCTGGTTTCATCTTATTAAGCCTGCATTATAAACAAATAATGTACTTCAATATGGTGTAAAAGCCTTTCAAAGAAAGAAGCGCTTCACCTCCCATTTCCCCCATTGAAATATCCAAACCTTCTCATTGTTCTTTTTAGCAGTGAAGTACTTCAGTAGTTAAACTACCTCAAGGCTTAAGAAAAACTTAATCTTTTTGTGGTCTCTTAAAATGTTTACCACATTTATTACCTCTCTTGTATTGTGAATTTGTTATGGCATTATGATTTAAGAACAATACAAGGCTGAACTAGGGCATCATTGAATGCTGAATTAGTTTAACCATATACTGGTAATCACATCATTCTAGTCAAAATAGGAGATTGTTAACTACATTAGTTGTGTATGTATATGAAGTTTGAATATTCATTGTACCGCTAAAACATTTAGATGTGCAGGGGGGGAGAAAATCTTGCATAAATCTTTAGACTTGCGAGAAATCTTTTAAAAAGGTATCAATCCCCATCTGCAACATCACTTGACCAAAGTGGAACCTTGGAAAATTAGCAAAGGCCACATGTGGCCAAGCTCCATGGCAGCCCATAAACTTTGGGTGACTGCAGCCCACAATAAAGAGAAATTATGCTGCCTGAAATTAATAAAATACATCTGGAATGATTTAATTAACCTATATTAAAATGCCTTGTGGGGGGTGGATTAATAGAAGGAATTACAAGTTTTATAAGTGTCAGTTGGCAAGATCCCACAGAGGCAAATTGACCCACTGCTTGTCTCTTTTGGACGTTGCAAAGGAACAAATATATGACAGACCATTTGGTATCTCCATAAGAGGCTTGGAGACAAGTAGAGCAGGGAGATTCACTATCTATACTTGGGGTGGAGGGAATGCGTCATAACACATCTTCAGCCAGAAGCTTATTCAACACCACATAAATCTGTGAAATATTCTTCTAAAAAGAACTAGTCATTTTAAGAGCTGACTTTGTTTTGCAATAGAATGTCTTGTGTTAAAGTCGTGGTACATAATACTCTCTAGTACAGGAGCTATAAAGTGAACCCACACAGTTAGATGACTGGCTCAGTGTTAAAATAATATCACCCAGGATGAGAAAAATGGCCTAAGCCATGAAGTTTGAAGCCAAATTTCTATAAAGTTTTGGGCTTTTTGGATCCAGTGTTAGGTGTGCACCCATCAATATATGCAGATGACGTTAATGCAGGTAACAGCTATAATGTCTGTCCATCCCAGGGAAACTAGAGCCCACAGTGTTCTGAAATGGCACCACTTCTTTCAAGATGGTAAGCCAAAAAAGTAGAATATGATGATGCTAAACATTTCATTTGAATATGCTTACTTAGGTTAAAAAAAATACCCCCACAACCTTTTATTTAATTTTTTCTCATTTAAACTTTTGACTAAAATATCAAAGCATCTGAGATAAATTGGAAGGTCAAATTTGAAAAGTACATGTTCTAAAGAAAAGCTTCAAATTATTAAATTACTGAATAAATTGTTTAATAACTTAATTTTAATCAATTTGTAGGCACCTAGAGAATAGTAGGGTTTTAAGGAATAGTCAGCATGGATTTGTCAAGAACAAATCATGTCAAAGCAATCTAATTTCCTTCTTTGACAGGGTTACTGGCCTAGTGGATAGCGGGGAAGCAGTAGGCCTGACGTATCTTGATTTTTATTAAGGCTTTTGATGCAGTCCTACATGACATTTTCATAAGCAAACTAAGGAAATATGGTCTAGATGGAATTTCTATAAAGCGGGTGCAAGACTGGTTGAAAAACTATACACTCAAAGAGTAGTTATCAATAGTTGGCTATCAAACTGGGAAGGCGAATCTAGTGGGATCCTTCAGGAGTCAGTCCTGGGTCTGGTGCTGTTTGCTGTTTTCATTAATGACTTGGATAAACGAGTGGAGAGTACGCTTATAAAATTTGTGGAGGACACCAAGCTG